TAAGCTACATTAGTAGGTAAACTACAAAAGAAAATATATATTCTCATTTATTAGTAATTTCGATTACACCAGCAAGACTAATTAATCTATATATTAATTGTGCCTGTTAGGTGTTGTCACATCCTTTACTAACATCCATGTTAATTTGTCCAATGTCTAAACTCATGACTCATCTGTATAATCTTCATCATCACCACAGTAAAATTAAAAAGAATATGATAGTTATTAATCCATCCAATGTCTAAACTCATAAATACAATCTTCATCACAATAAAATTAAAAAGAATATTATGCTAAAGAAAAAGATATGATACATCTACAATTCAATTTTCAGCATGAAATATTTTCACAAAATAAAAATAAAGTAATTAATAAATATAATATACAAACAACTTGCTAAAGTGCTTACCTGAAATAGTTGCAAAATATTACATTTTTTTTTTTAAATAAAAACTACCAATAAATATATACTTTATTAAATTTATATACTACTTTTTCAATATATGCAATTGCATCATTGCATGTATATTAATAATAACTAAATATGAAACTTTTGATTTTCATTACATGATTGTATAGTAATTAACTACCAATGCAAAACAAATTTAAACCATATACATAATATACATAATATAATATATAAATAATATATATATAATATATAGTATATATATATATATAATATATTATATAATATATATATATAATATATATATTCAATTTAATGCATATTTAGAGGAAATTTAAATTCGATTAACTTCAATATTTAAAATGAGTAGCTACCATATTTAGATTTGATATTTAAAATGTGTAATTAACTAAAATAATAAACTTTTAATAGAAAGTATTAAAAAAAAAAAAATATTAAAAACACTCAGATTCTTCATTTTGCCATTTCTAGTTTTTGTATCCACCAAGTCAATATTATGTAATACAATCAAAGTTGTTCTAGGGGTTACTACCACCTCTAAATTTTTAAAAAGTCATCCTGCAAGTTTTCATTCTACAATGATTGGCGGCCATGGTTGAAACCCTTCAAGGTTGACAAAAAGAGATAGAGACAAACATCCAAACAAAAAAATAAAGTTAAAAACAAACATAAAATTAGATTCTAGGATAAAGATAAATACCTTTTTCACCTTCAAAATGGATCGAATAGCATAGCAATTCTCTATGGTACTACACAACAAAGGAATAATCCTTATTCACTGGATTGAACAATGTTATTGATACATCAACAAACTAAGCCTAAAATTATGCAGGAAAGAAAATACAATAATAATATGAATGTAAATATAAATATGAATCTTAAAAATGGTAGTGAATATAAACATACAAAAAAAAAAAATTAATACACATATATTTACGATCCACACTCTCATTGAGTTGTCATCCCCACAAACTTCAACCACCGCCCTCTAACATGAACTGCTGCAGAAATCTTCTTCCACCACCGCCATAAAAATAACTACTAATTTAATCCAAAGCAATGCCAACTTCAGATTTGCAAAAAAAAAAAAAAAAAAAAAAAAAAAAAAAAAAACAAAACAAAAAAAAAAACAAAACAAAAAAAAAACAACTTCCACACCGACAAAGTCAAGATTGCTTCCGCAGTTGATTCCGCCGAAAATGCCAAAACGTCTTGAAGGGAGAGATAAATTACTCTTTTATTACATAAAATGCACACTTTAAAGACGGAGAGATTGAATCAAAGAAAAGCCCAACGCTTTGACAAATTGACAACTAAAAAAATGCTTTTAATACTATTTTCATTTTTAGTGTATTCTTATCATGCTTCCCTTTGCATCTGTTTACATATACACAGAATCCGTCCCTCCCCACTTTATCCACTTGATGAGCAAGGAACTCTATTGCTTCCCCATCAATCTTTATAGATCTGTATCTTCTCTACAAAAAAAAAACAAAAAAAAAAAAGAATATATCAACATTTTTCTTACGAACCACTTTTCTTGTTTAAAAATCGAAAAATACAAAAACAAAAAAAAAAAAAAAAAAAACAAAAACAAAAAACAAAAAAACAAAAAAAAAAAAAACAAAAAAAAAAAACAAAACAAAACCCAATAAGAAAGAAAGAAAAAGAAACTAAGATAATGAAAACTTCACCCGTGCAAATCACGTATCAACCTCAATTGTGGAAGATCACAGGATAATTAGCAAAAGTCAATGAAATAATTAACCTTAGTTGAGATTGTGAAATTGATGAGTTGTCTATGGTCATATAAGGTGTATTTATACATAATAGATGAGATCAAAAGAGCTTAGTATTGAAATTATAAAATGGTAAGAGATATTAAGAAAGGTAAAAAGCTTCCAATTATTTACTTTCTACCCACTACTACACGCATTCCATATACATATACATTGTGTATGAGTATTGCTTTATATATAAAATATAAAATACTACACACTAATTAGCTTAATTAACAATAATAACCTTAATTACTATATATTGTATAACTACGTACATTCCTAATATATTATTACAGCATTGTTCTAATGGTTTTCCCTAATTATTTAATTAATAATATATTACTAATATAATTTTTCCTAATAAATTTGATAATAAAACTGTTATTATATTATTATTATTATTATTATTATATTATTATATCATTATTATTATTATTGTTGTTGTTGTTGTTATTATTATTATTATTTTAATTTTATTTATACTTGAACAATAATATTTTTATTATGCATGAACAATAATATTATCAATTATATTATAGAATATAATACCATATATAATATTACCAATTAATAGATTTTATTTATTCCATTTGACATTTACTTACCAAATAAGTTTTACTACAAAGTTTTGGGGGAAATTGTTAGGAGGATTTTACTTTTATATATATATAGATTTGACATTTACTTACCAAATAAGTTTTACTACAAAGTTTTTGGGGGAAAATTTGTTAGGAGGATTTTACTTTTATATATATATAGATTATGTGTTTGAAGTTAACATAATATATGCTTGTAAATAAATTGAATATACATAATACCACATTAACATATTATGTATATGTAATTAATATATATTAAGTGTCTTCAATTTATTTAGAGACATATTAACTGTCGATACATAATCTTTTAATTGTAGATACAAAATTTAAATGTCATTTTGAACCAATCACAATATAATGTGGACCTTGGTCCAAACGAAGGAGATATGAATTCTATTTAGGCGGGATACAATTTGTCATTTTTGGTTCGCTGATTTATTGTGTGACTCATAACAACAAGTGAGATATAATTTTTATTATGGTCTTGTTTTAGGGACAACAAAAAAAGTCACTATTAATGGCGTGTATTGGTTAAATCATGTCTTATTACCTGGTAAAAGACCAAAAATTCACAATGAACTAAATTAGCATAAGTTTATCATAGCTTACCAATTCAAACTAAAAAATCAATAGGTCAAATAGGTGGGATATAATTTTCGTATATGAATGCCACGAGTTAAATTATTGACAACACTCTCTTAGTCAAACATAATTACAGTCTTTTTAATGCGACTTACTCCTTTGAACGATTACACAATAGTGGAGTTTCGCCACTTCAGTTTTTTTTTTTTTTTTTTTTTTTGGGTCATATATCCTTTTATACTATGAAATCTAAAGTGTACAATTTTGTGTTGAGTTTTGAAGTTGAGCATTTTCAGTTTGTTGAAAAATTAGCTAAAAATGTCATATAAATTAGTTTTTTTAGACAAAAATTGAGTGGAGTCCACTTTCACTTTGGGTCGGTCACCGCCAATTCGAGTTCTCTTAAGTGAAATATTTAATTTGATATATTATACACTCAAAACGGATAATAGATGAATGATAAAATAATTATAGAAGTGTATCAATTTGAGTTGAAAAATATAATTTGATATTTATAAATACCATTGTCCCACATTGAAAATAGAATATGGGTCTCACTATTATATATACAATTATTATTATCTTTGAAAAATTTAAATTGTATATTATATAAATTATCTATCGCACATAGAAATGCAAATCAAATTTAAAGACAAAAACTTGTGTGAAAGTATTACCCAATTCTAAAATGATACTCGAAGTGTTTTTCATATAATTAAAACCTATTTTTAAAAAACAATATTGGTAATTAGTTTCACCATTGGACTACTGACTAATTTTGCCAACTCCATATCGAACCCATGAGAAAATGGGAAATTATAATAGTCCAAAAGTTGAAATTAGTTGCACAATGTGATCATGTAGCATTGTTGAAAAGCTCATTCAACTTTTAATTGTATCTCCTATCACTACTCTACTTGATTCAACGTAATTGAAATTTTATAGTAGACTATATCTTATACAAATGGTACCACCTAAGCACATATAAATCGCTAAATAAACATTAAAAGTGCACAAATGATAGATGAGGGTGTTCTCTCCAAGAAACTGTTCAAGGTTCCAAGACTAACCAGTTCTGAAACCAGTCTCGTATGGTGATGGATTCGCCGGACAACGGCCAACTCGGCCACCTGTTCAAGAACTCTTGAACGCACACCGAAGAAGTCGAAGTTAGCAGATACCCAGACCCAAGTTCAGATGAATAACCAGACCCCAGAGATAGTCCCTGAAACACTAGCGTCACCAGACGAAGGATTCGCGAAGGAAAGTCTGAATCAACAGCGTCTACAAGCTATAAGGCAAGTTTACACAATTTCATGCAGTACGAAAATGAATACTCTGAAGCCCAAGTGGACGAATCCTCAGACGACGAGGAACTTGAAGTGGACGATGACCGGAATGCCCCAGAATCAGATTCTCTAAGAAGGAAAAGGAAAGGCTAAGGCGGCCTTGGAAGCGCACGATGATCCTGCGTCTGCTAGGTAAGACTGTCGGCTACAATTACCTCCATCGTCGTTTACAGTCTCTTTGGAAGCCCGAAGGCCACTGGAACTCATAGATTTGGAACAAGATTACTTCTTGCCCGGTTTGAATCCCAGAGAGACTACGATGTCGCGAGGTTCGAGGGTCCTTGATGATATTCGACCACTACCTTGGTGTCCAGGAGTAGGTGCCAAACTTCCATCCTCACTCAAATACAACACAGAAAATTCTAGTTTGGATTCATCTCCCTGACCTATCGATCGAGTACTTCGATGAGAAAACCTTAAGGAAAATTGGGAATAAAATAGGCAGGACGATCAAAATTGACGTTACAATCGGACTAGCTACTCGTGGGAAATTCGCAAGAATTTGCGTAGAGGTTGATCTAACAAAGCTTCTATTAGCCAAATTCACGATCGAAGAAGATGTTCTACCTATAGAGTACGACGGCATACACTCGGTATGTCTTAGATGTGGTATCTACGGCCACAGGAAGGAGCAGTGCGGCCAAGAACCAGAATTGGATAAGCAGGCTACATGCAATCACATGGAGGTTGACGCTGGGATTGGAAAGGCAGATGATGCGGATTATGAACCAGTGGCGACCAAGCAATTACCAGTGGCCAAACCACATGCCACGGAGAAATTTGGTACCTGGATGTTAGTGAAAAGGAAGGATAGGAGGCCAAATAAGAAGGGTGAAGGAAGATGGGAATCCAGAAGCTAGCTATTGTAGAAAAAGAACGGGAACCCACCATCACCAAGGT